GGCATTCCACGCCCTTCCAAAGACTCGAATCGATGCACAACGCTCCAAAACTAGCCAATAATAATGTAAACCCATTAATATATGCTAAGGTACTCATTATAATCCAATTTATAACAATTCCTAACCCCGATGGAAGAGTTGACAAAAACGCCCTCGGTTCCACGTGCCCGGATTCCGAAATTTCTCGAAGATAAAGTTTACCCATGAACTCACGAACTCAAATATATGATTTTCTCTTAATTCCATCCCCAAAATCGTGGTTAAATTCCAAGAATGCTAGATTTCTAGGTTTTCCCTCAAACCCCAAGTTTTCTACAAATTTCATGCTCAAATCCATACATAATTGATGTATTTAACTCAAAATAGGTGGGATTAGCTTACCTTATCATTGATGATGAAAATCCTCTCTTGAACCCTCCAAGAATCGCCCCCAAGCCAAGAAAATATGATAGGAAATGGCCAAAACCCGACTTTAAAACAACATTCTGCCTCCAGCTCTTTCCACACCTGCGGCTTCCAGACGGCTTCTACGGTTCCGCAGGTGCGGTTCCAATACCGCATCTGCGGTCCTCACCAGGCTGCCCCTCTTCCGCTTCTGCGCTCCTTCTTCCGCAGGTGCGGTCCCGCTTCTGCGGCACCCTGAACGCATCTGCGGTCCCTTTGCTCCAAACCAAAATCCGCACCTGCGGCCTCCTAGCCGTTTCTGTGGCTCCGCACCTGCGGCCCCTTTATTGCAGGTGCGGTTATGACAGCAACCAGCAAGATCAGCCCTTCCAAAATCCCATTTCCGATCCGTTAACCATCCGGAATCCACCCGAGGCCTCCCGGGACCCCAAACAATCATACCAACCAGTCCCAAAACACGTTACGGACTTGCTCGAGGCCTCAAATCACATCAAACAACGCTAAAACCATGAATCAACCTCCAATTCAAGCATTAAGAACTTTAGAACTTCAAACTTCTACTTTTGATGCCGAAACCTATCAAATCATATCCGATTGACCTCAAATATTGCACACAGGTCATATTTGACATTACGGACCTGCTCCAACTTCCGGAATCGGATTCCGACCCCGATATCAAAAAGTCCACTTCCGGTCAAACTTCTCAAAAACCTTCAAATTTCTATATTTAGCCAAATGACTCCAAAATGACCTATGGGCCTCCGAATTCACTTCCGATCGAGCTCCCAACTCCAGAATCACCATACGGAGCTATTCACAGACTCGGAATCCCCAACGAACATCGATAACACTGAAATGCACTTCAAACCAAACTTAAAAAATTTCTTCAAAAATGCAAACTTCCACAATAGGCGCCAAAATGCTCCCGGGTTATCCAAAACCCTAACCGGGCATACGCCCAAGTCCGAAATCATCATACGAACCTGCCGGAACCTTCAGATCCTGATTCCGAGGTCATTTACTCAAAAATCCAATCCTAGTTAATTCTTTCAACTTTAAGCTTCCAAAATGAGAATTCTCTTCCCAAATCAACTCCGAACTTCCCGAAATTCAATTCCACCACGCGTACAAGTCATAACACCTGAAATGAAACTGCTCATGGCCTCAAATTGCTGAACGACACGCTAGGGCCCAAAACGACCGGTCGGATCATTACATCAAATGTGTTCGATGCAACTCTATGAATATCATCTAACCAATTAGGGTTGTAAAGGAGATGCATTTGATGGAAAAAATCGTTCCAGCAACATGAATACTCTCCGGATTCAACAACTTCAGCGAGACAACCCCGAAAAAGATTACTTTGCTAACTTTTACATAGAGAATAATTAAAGACACCATATTCCAAGTATTAGCAGGAGACATGCATGACATACAACATCATCATGGGAAGATCGACCATGGATTCATGATATACAACCAATACCATTTATGATGCATCAGGCATTGAAATTCCCTTTCAAATAGCAATCAAAAGCAGAAACGGTTGACATCCTGACCCTACAAAAGAAATAACAAAGGCAGATGAACTCAAGGCCCCAGAGGGCCAGGAACAATCAACGATGCTGACAAACAATATGATAATAAATCAACAATTGAAGAGTTATCTGCAACTATTTATTTCGTCAACTTTCCGAAGAGAAAGGTTTACATGGTTTGGGACTTAACCCCAAACTCAGAGCTAAATTTTTACGTGCTAATTAAGATTTTCTTTGCTTGGTCATATGCTGATATGATAGGCTTTCGATGGAAGTGATGACTCATGCACTTAGCATAGACCCGAAGCATCCGTCGATCGAGCAAGAAAAGAGAAAACATGGACTATTTCGAAATAAGATTGTAGAGGATGAGGTATCTCAACAACATAGTGGTAGTTGCAAAGAAGAATGTTAAGAGTGTGTTGATTGCATTGATTTGAACAATGCATGCCCTAAAAATTCTTCTCCATTGCTGCATATTGATCAACAGATATACGCAATTGTGGGCATAAGTTGTTAAGCTTTTTCGATGCATACTCTAGGTACAACCAAATTATAGATTCGGAGGATCAGGAGAAGAATTTCTTCTTTACAAATCAAGGGACTTATAGTTAAAGCGTAATTTCATTCGGGCTTAAGAATACTGGAGCCACATATCAGTGACTAGTTAACCAAATATTGAAGAACTACAACGGAAAAACTATGGAGGTCTATATTGATGATATGCTAGTGAAATCAGTTTAATCGGAGGATCATCTGACTCACTTGAGGGTTCGCAACTCTTTAGAAATACAACATGAGAAATAGAGAAATATGTATTTGGAGTAGCGTCCAAAAATTTCTTGGGATTTCTCATTTCCAAAAGAGAAACTAAAGTCAATCCGGATCAAATTAAAGCCATCAAAAGTATACTGGATATGATAAATTTCTTATGTCTCGCACAAAATCCCAAAAGCTTCCCAGATGGAACTCTGAATTTATATTTACTTGGATTTGACTTGAGGTCATACCTTCGCAGCCTTTCAGAAAAATTTCTTAAGTCCTGCTCATGATCTTCTTCTGTTTTTGACTTGATGGTCACGTCATGTATGTTATCCATGCATTATTTAGACCGAATGGCATGACCATGTAAAAATATGTACGCTAGGTTGCGTTAAAAATGATCTTTTTTGTAGTTTCATCATCCATCAAGATCTGATGATATCCAGCATAACAATTTACAAAAGAATGTATCTCGTGTTCGGCACAGTTATCAACAAGGATGTGAATGTTTGACAAAGGTAAGTTATCCTTGGGATTAGCTTTGTTTAAATTTTTATAATCAACACAAACCCTGGTTTTTCCATCTTTCTTTGGCACGGGCATCACATTGGCTAACCATGTAGTATTTTTGGATAACTAAGATCACATTGGCTATTAACTGTTTCATGATCTCTTCTTTTATATTGTCACTCAAGTCCGTTTTGTAATTTTTCTGCTTTTGTTGGACACATGGAAAACCCGGGATAAGTGTAATGTTTATACACCACCAAATCAATGCTCAACCCTGGCATGTCATCATAAGACCAGGAAAACACAACTTTATACTCAAACAAGAGTTGAATAAGGGTATCCCTAGTTTTTTGGTCCGTATGGATGCAATTTTTTGAATTTTCCAGATTAATTGACTGGGTTTCATTTAGATTTGGCTTAGGAATATTGTTCCAATACTCGGTTTATTTCTCTAAAAACCTCATTTTTATCATATTTAACCTCTTGATTCATTATTTCGAGATTAGACAACATTTTAGAGCTTTGGCTTGAGTTCCGCAAGCATGTCATATTATTAAAGTCCCTATTAACATAGCTGAAAAGAAGATAAAAAAAAATAACGAAAATTAGGAAAAGAAAAAGGAGACACTTATTAGTTATGAAATTTTAATTTTATTTCATTGAATTTAAAAAGATGGAGGGGGTTTTACATCAAAAGTAAGGAAATAGTTAAAAAAATATATCTAGATTACAACCCTAAAATAATCTAAATATATAAAGGATAACAAAATTTGACTACCGAGACTCCCTAGCTTCTAACAGGAAAGGAGTGCCTCCCGGTTGTAAAGCTTGAATTCTGGACTCACATATTGTACGACAGCATGACTAGGCCTTCACCAATCTGAACCATGTTGGTCTCGTGGAGCATTCCTTTTAAACTTTCACAGATTTCGTCAATTTCTTCTGTCGTGAAAGCCTCTTCTTCCTCATCATATTTGAGTTTAACAAAGGACTTAGATATATGAGGGATTGGCTTTGAGATGATCCAACCATTTTCTTTGCGTGCCTTGGCCCATTTTAGATCATCTTCTGTAGGCTTATACCCTAAGCCAAAAGTGTCTTTCTTTTCATAGGCTGCGCACGACTCACTGATGTCCGGAAGATACCCTCAGCCCTTTTCCGGGTTAATACCTTCTTTTTAACATCTGAGTAGCTACCATGACGGATATGGTGGATAGACATAGTTCAATCATTGGAGTGCCCTCCTTGGATCGATCAGCAACCACCACTACAACATTTAAGGCCTCCAGCCACTCCTGAAAAGTATGGCCTAAAATGTCAACAAGTGTAGTATTTGATCAAAGGCAACACTTTACGCCTTTAGGCTACGCTTTTACGGGAGTGGCCTAAAGAACCGTAACCTTTGACCTATAGCCACGCTTATTACGCGTCGCCTTAGAAGCTACGCTTCAAAAGTGTGGCCAATGCGGTAAAAAAGCTACGCTTATATTTTTTCTTATAGCCACACTTTTATGACTTAAAGCTACATGTTTAAAGTGTGGTCTTGTCTTTGGTTCTTATAGACCACGCTTATAAAGCGTGGCTTCTAAAACAACAATCATCAGCGCCAAATTGACTGTCCTATGGCCACATTTTCTAAATGTGGCAATTTTGCGTATGCTTTAAAATATTTATTTTTGCCACAATTGTGTGGTTAATAAATTTTAGTTGCCTACAATAAATTTTGTATTCACATTTGTTTCAAGCATATACATTATGATCTCAAGCATTAAATAAGATTATAAGTAACAGAATAAAAATAGGTCAAATGCATATACTTGAAATAGACCTGAACAAAGAAATATAATTTGTGTAGTATTGCCCATATTAATAAAGCACTACTTCAAGTTCGCCGGCAATAAATGCTACAAAACAAAATTTGTTCATATAACTATCAATATTACTAAAAACATCACAATTCTTCAAAAAGTCTTCCCCATTCACTTCAATAGGTCAAATTGATTTGTAGCCACCACTTCCAATTGGATCATCTGTATTTTCCTATACATCGAAAATAAAATTAGAAATTAGGAAAAAACCTACATATAATATGCAGAGAACTTTGCCTAGATAACCCACAAAGTCAATACGAAAGCGTATGCATAATAGTAGTATGTAGATCTGAAAAAAGACAAGAATCATTGAATATCTTCACAAGCTTGCATAAACAGAGTCTCAAACCCAATCAAGAAACTAATAAGGTGTCTATAACACTGTGAAAAAGAATCAAACAGCTTACAGTATACACATGAAATAGTCAAAGCTGTCAGTTTATACCACAACAAACCATTCATCAAAACTAATTGAAATGCATTGAGAAAATTTAATAGTAATCTGGACTCCAGTTTAAGTAGGTCTAATATTACCTTCAGAACACACACACACACATACACAGAGAAAGTGCGCGATCAAGAAGTTCTATGTATTGGAAAATATTATAACAACTGATGTTAGGTTTCCAATAAAAAATCTCCACTATCATATTAGGCAAAGTCATCTTACCACTGCCAAATGTAGTTACTGAAAATACTTCTTTTTATCCTATTACGTGGAAGCCATATCTCGCACAAAACTGCTAACCCAACTAGAGGAATTCAAGGATGATTCGAATCGGTTGTTGAAGATGTTGAATGGCTATTTACAACCACAAAGAAATGTTATGTGTATGAATCCTATCACAGAATTCACAACATATCATCATCATGTAAGCTTAATTCTTCTTCAGCTAAATGATAAATTTTCTCCAATAGACCTCAATGAAAGCAGTCCTAGTGTTTTGATCTATGACAATTTGATCCAAAACGACTACAAATAAGAAAATTCTTGTACAAAAAGAGGTGCACGCATCAAATTCAAGTAGCTTTTCGATATTCAATTTAAAATATCAAGTCATTTCATAAAACTTTTTTAGTCCTCTTCACCTCTTTGTACTATTAGCATATATACCAACAATCTGACTCTACATACCAATAAATGGGAGAAAGAAACAGATATAGAAAATAAGTTAAAGTACATGATTAATTCCATGATTTGAAAATACAATAAAGCAAATCAAGTAGCTATCAAAGAATTAACAGCAGGGAACCGAGAAGAAAAAAGGACTAAGCTACCTATTAAAAGACTGAAAATTAGTGGACAACCCATATTAGTTATAGTGTTATAACACCCATCTAACCCTTCCATTTTCATTCAAATTGACAAATATTCTGAACCTTTTGAAACAATTGATATCATTTTAACTTTATACATTTTAGCTGTCAACGAAATAATGGATTCACTTGGTATCATTGGAGAAGGCCTCCTCTTGTTCAAAATTTAAAAGTTCATCCAACTCTTTAAAAAATTTTCAGTTATCCTGTGGGCTTACTTGGTATCCTAGGACATTTTAAAAACCACTTACAAAAAATAAATTCTATTTCTGAAATAATTTTCCAACCGTTCATTCATAACTCATGTTATGTAACACAACCATCAAAAGCAAATATTTTACCTTCTATGAAAAGCAAATAATTTAGAAAAGCAAATAATTTAAAGTAAACCTGAGGTATTTTTCAATAGTGTGAAATATAAATACCTTTCCAAGACTCGGAGCATGAGTTGAGCCAGAAGAATGTGGCAGATTTTGGCCTCTCATAGCTCGTGCACTACTTGCATCAACAGGTGAAGGAAGATTAGATCCGGCACACCCTTCTATATCATGAATATCCAGTCCAGGGTTATTTTGTACCAATTGAATACAAAAGTTCGGCATTTCTTCTCTCATCATTTCCTTCATTTCTTCCTTCATTTCTTCCTTCAGAGAAATCATTTCATTATCATGCTTTTGTTTAAGCTTGTTGATCTCCTCATCTTTTTCCAGAGAGCTTATCGTGACCGATCTACCATAGCATCTAATCCGACCAGGCTGCTCCTTTCCAAACACAGCCCTAAATGCATCATCTGGTGTTTCTCCGGAACTTTGATGATTTTGAAGTTCAGACTGTCAAAAAAAAATTACTGAACATCACTTACAAGTCAAGATAGAATGAACACTAAAATATGTTTCAACAAGTCAGGTTAGATTAATGTTCTTTATGTGAAAATCCCTTCAATCGAACAAAAGAAACACACAACAAAAACAAAGAACATAAGAAAATAATGACCACAGAAGGTTCGTAGAGGAAAAGGGTTATGAGCTTGTTGTATTCCTTCAGTGATCTTGCAACAATTACAATTTTATATAGGAAAAGCTTCAGCAAGCTCATAACCCTGTTCCTCTACATGTTTATAGTCAAAAATATTTAAAACTTACTAAAAACATCGTTAGAGGAGGAAATTGTTCCACTACTAGAATAATCAGTGTTAGAAATTGGAAATTCAGGAAGCGAGTCAAGCACCATAAAAGAAAAAGAAAGAAAAAAATAGTCTTCTACAAGCTACTCAACAATAAATGAAATATTTCGCCCCGCCCCAACACTAAAACAATACGAGCAAGAGCTTATTCTTAAGAGTTAATTGGAGTTTTTGGCTAAAAACATCCTTATACTATCCCTCAAACTTAAACTTTATCCTTTATACATGTAACTGAGCATAAAACATCCTTAAAGTTTGAGAAAATGGGCAAAATACATTCTACTGTTAGTCAAAGTTCAAAAACTAACGGCAGAACATAAAATCCATCTTCTGCCCTGTTTTTAAACAGCACATGCTGCTCATGGATTCTGGGAAGTAGATATACAAAGCAGGAGGATTGTGAATATGGATAAACTCCAATGTCAAAATTTAAGAATAAGAGTTGTGAGGAACTAGAAGGAGAGGGTGTAACAAGGTGGAATAGAGTGCTGCAGAGCAGAAGGAGGAAGCTGGTGATCAAAAACTGTGGATGCGCCCTTGAGGAGGCCATAGTACACTGGCTTTTAACTAGCAGATGGCGCAAAATGAACACAAAAAAAAAGCAGCTGGAGCAGGAGAATATCTGGGATACATATGGTAGACTGTTGGAAGAAGAAGGAATTAACAGGATTTACTGACAATGCGTTCTGTTTTGCAGGTGAGTTTTCTATGTCTATGTCTTATTATATGATGGAATTTCAGATGGAGGTAGTAGTGCTATGCACTCAATCCATTGAAAGGAAATCACAGGTAGGCATAAAAATAGAAACAAAGAAGGATAATATGCTGCCCAGTTCCTACAGCAGCAGATTTTTTTGGCAATTTACATCAGCAACATATGAGGAGAAGGGACATGAGGCTCAAGACAGGGTGAACACCTCATATACAGAAGGAAGAATCCAAATACCTAGACATAGAGCAGAAGAAGTTGCACAGAAGCTTTGTGATTACTGTGGGCAATATCAAAGCCACAACTGGTTAACACAGCTAATCGAGGGCAGATCACTACATCAAATTCAGAGGAAAGAAAATCACGTTGATGGGGCCACATACCAACCATATTTTACTCACAATAGAAACACTCAAATGAATAGAGTCATAGTTGTGCACAAATTGTTGACAGCTGAATCTTATGAATACAAAGAAGCATTCAACTGGATGACACAATTATGTACACGACTAAAATCTCAATGCAGTTTCATCAATTCAATAACCCAAGACCAACACTGGACAAAGGATACAACAACAATCAGATGGAAACTACAGGAAATTGCTGAAAAAATCAGCAGCAGTATGCAGACCTGGTTGACTGTAGATTCTTGGACACGACAGCTGCAATCTGGACTGAAGAATCAATCCAATTTAATAATATGTTACTTCAGGAAGTGTTACAGATAGTTCTCGCAAAGTGCTGGACATCACAAATATCCTACCTTAGGAATGCTACAGGGATTGACAACGGCTATCAAGATACAAAAAGGTTATTTGTGCAAAAACTGGGCAGCAGCATATTCTGGAATTCAGAGAACTTAACTACATTAATCCGGGGATTAGAGTATGCAAGAAATTCAGTTGGGAACAATAGGTACAATCACGAAATTGAGATCCAACTTGCTACTTTGGAGCAGATTTGGCGAAGGCATTTAACATGGCAGGACTGGCTGTATCATGTGGATAATTCTGGATAAACTTGGGCTTTCATATCAACAAAACATCGTAGATGGACACAGCAAGAAGGAACACAGGTGGCGATGGAATTTACACATATGGACAAGGAAGGCCAGGTTGAAGACAATCCTTGGACAATATATGCAAATGGAGCCAAAAATGACGTAGCTGGGAAGGTTGCAAGTTCAGCATGTCCTACTGTACAGTCTCATGCGAACAGCTTAGGCAGAATTTGGGCTAACGCACTCACATGGCAAAGACATGGGAATATCAAGGATCAACTTCGACTAGGGGACATAAAGGAAAAGCAATGGAAGGTCTCCAAAAATGAGGGCAAACACAATACTTTGGTTCATTGGATAATGCAACGTTTCATCTATTTTTATGCAGGAAAAACAATGCAACTCTTCAGTGATCATGCAGGAATGACATCAGTGATGAAGGTAAAAGAAATATGGGCAATATTCATCAAACAGCAAGTACAAACTGGACACAAATGCAAACATAGTGGTTATGAAGGCAATTACTGGGCAAGGGCTATTTATGACAAGGATTGCGAGTTCAAAACGATCATAAGGCAGCTGGACCATAATTATAATGGGCTCAAAGAACTATATCGTGCAAGCATAGACTACTATAGAATTCATGTGATATCATTGTTGGGCAATTTGTTCGACTTTGATAATAGGAATTTTGTAGTTTTCAAACATTATTTCTTTCTATTTTTAGACCTTCATGACATTTGTTTTCCTTTTTTTATATATAAAAAAACTAGCCCTAGTGGATTGCTTAAAAAACAAAAAAAGGACTTATGCCCAAGGTAAGCATATCTATACAAACACAACTGTCACTATCTCATATTGTATGAAAGATATTGTGGATGAAACCAAGTGAACCAAAAAGCAATTTATCAGTTTTATAACCAACTCTATAACATTAGACTTTCTGTTTGCTTTACATTGATCTTTTTCACTTTGTAAGTAATATAAGCTAAGACTACAAGGAAAAAGTAGATGGATTTCATCTATTTTTTCCAGTTCCAATTGCCTCAAGCCATGAAACCACTTGATCAATCGAGGGCCTCTGACGCGGATCACGGTCTATACATTTACAAGCTATACTTAGCACCTCCAAAATTGGTTGTACAACTGAAATTAAGACAAAATAGCCACCTAATTCAAAAGCAATTTCAAAATATTTTGAAATCACAAACTCAAGCAAATAACGCCCTACTTGTGAAACCTTTCGGTATAATTAGGTCGAATAAACGATTAAAGCTTTGACATCCAAAATCAAACAAAAAGATAACTTATTTTTCAACTCAAAAATATAAAACAAGGATAAAACTAAAAACTTTGATAGCGAAAAATTAAACAAAAAAATTACTTATTTAAGCCCAATAATCTGAAATTGGAAAAAATAAAAAACATTGAGTACTAAATAAAGCCTATAGAAAGATACGTAATATTGCAACAAAAAAAATTACTTCAATCGGCCCCAAAATTCACTTCTATCGGCCTAAAAAAAATTCAATAAGAAGCTAGATAAATTAAAACTTTAAGTATAAGAAGGAACATCAATCAAAGATAATCAAAATTAAATAGTAAAGATTACTCCTTTTCAACCCAAGAATCTGAAATTAGTAAAAACAACTAAAACTAATACCCAAAAATTAAACAAAAAAAAATTACTTCTTTTCAGCCCAAGAATCTAAAATTAGAAAAAAGTTAAAAACATTGAGTAAAAAATGAAGACTATACCAACATACCCATGTATATACATCATAGAAGATTATTTTTCATCAGAAATCGAAAAAAAATACGGAAAACCTTTGAGTAAAAGAAATACTAACCAATAGAGAAAGGATGGAGCTTTACTATAGTGGAGGAGCAGCAACACAATCCAGCAGCGGCGGAAAAAAAAAAGCAAAGAAGTTAGGGTATGAAAGGAGGAAAAGAATGGGAAACGTTCTAGAGGATCTTATTCTTATGTTTTAATTACTTTGCCTTTTGAGTATTGGGTGGGGAGGAGGGAAATATTTTCATTACCTGTGTATTTGGGGGAAATTTTAAGAGATATTTTTTATAACAAATTTTTATTTTTATGTTACGCTAATAAAATGTTAAATTTGGTATTAGAATATAACAACTTTTCGAAAACGTTGCATTATAATTAATAAGCGTTGTCAAATAATTTAAATATTGGCAACACTTAAGAAGTGTTGTCTTTATATTATAAGAGCACGCTTTTTAAGTGTGGTCTTTAAAAACGTGGCCAAAGACTCTAGTCAAATACCACGCTTTATAAGCTCATCGATAGCTACTTTTGGCAACACTTTTCGAGTGTTGTCTATAATTAGTGTGGCTATAGGCCAAAAATGCTGTAGTGCACTATCTCGAAAGTTTGGTGAACAATAGACTCAGTGCCCTCTCTGGCTTCAAGGTATGGAATTGAGGATTTTTTATAGATTGAGAGTTCGTCTTCCCCATGGACAATTATTTCTTGGTTATCGTGCTCAAATTGATCATTTGGTGGAGCGTAGTGGGAATGGCTCGAGTCGTGTGAATCTACGGCCTTCTGAGGAGAATATTATAAGATGGCTGCACCCAAAACTTGAAAAGTCACCTGAAAATAACATGTTCAATTGTCAACACCAAGTCAATCTCCCCAATGGTGTCCCTTTTCACCCCGTCGAAAGCACAAACAAAAACGTTGTTAGTCCTGATCTGGTTGTTGTTGATTTTCAAGCCATGAAGAATTGAGAGGGGAAAAATATCGACCCCTGAGCCACCATCAACCATCATTTTTTTTTTTTTTACATAATGCCGCTCGCACTTAATTGTCATACCATTCCCTGAATTAATTGGAATTGCTGAACCTGAACAACAACATTTTATATTACTAATTAATATCCTCTTCTTCCTTCGGAATTCCACCCCCCCCCCCCCCCAATTATTACGGTAATAATAATAATCAGAAGGTGATACATCAAGCTTAGTCCCTACGGGCGCTGTGAATCCTCTAGAAGAAGACACCATTATTATTGTTCAGGAAAATACCATTGGAATTAGTAGAGAATGTGTTGATTAAGCCTTAGAAATTGAGGTTTTTAGGTAGATGGAGAGGCCTATTGTAGCCAATCCCATCAACGGGCAATTTACTATTATTGAAGGGTATCTTGTTGACCTCAAAGAATCTCTCAGTCATTCTCTCTAGTTGGCTTACCGTTGTTGTATCTGGGACATATGCCTCAGTCAAAATTTTATTAGTATCTGCTGGTGTTCATCCAAACTCAACAACAAATGACAAGAAGTGATATTCGAGTCAGGGTCCTTCTAAGCTGGTCCACAATAGAGTAATCATGGACCTTCATCTACTTGAAAAACTCCACTGCCTCTTCGATAGTAACCGGTTTTTTCAGAGGCACTTGACTGTTCCGGTTTTAAGCACTTGACTGTTCCGGTTTTGTTTTGCCTTTCTTATCTCTCCTGTGGTATAGTACCTCGTAGAAGGGTCATCTCAAGCACTTGACTGTTCCGGTTTTGTTTTGCCTTTCTTATCTCTCCTGTTGTATAGTACCTCATAGAAGGGTCATCTCATTTACTTCTTCAGCGATCTCTTTCCCTTTGTATGTTAATACGGTCTTGTTATAATTTTATAGTACCGCCTTTGTGTTTTTTATCGGGGTTTGAGGAGCAGGGCTGATCACCACAGGCTCTATAAGCCTTCCCAACATTCTTGGACATCGTCCAATTTTTTGTGGTCCCCGAAAACATACAGCTTCAAAACACTCCAAATGAATTTTTTTTTCACTTGCCGCTTTCGGGACATTAAGAGTGAGCTTCTTTACTTGCCACTTTTGGAACATATAATACCAGCTTATACTTATCTAATGTATGCTATCACTATAAATATGAGGAAGACCGACTCTCTATTTATCGAGCCATTCACTGAAGTCTCTCACGGAGAAACATGATGAAAGAAACTTCGCTCCGAAACTCTTAGGAGTGATATAGTGGGACTTGGCAATTTTGTACATTAAGATTTTTAACAAATAGTTTAATATGTCATGTCAGATTAATTTCAATAAAATGGTATGTATAAATATGTTAGTGGTGTGATATTTCTTACACACGAAAAAAATAAAAAAATATTTAAGGCTCAACCAGAGGACATTTCCATGCTAAATTTTTTTTAGCGGACCGGATTAAAAACAGGCATATGATCCAAATTCTACCTAAAATTTACCTTAAATTTAGCTTCAAATTCTACGAGGTTCCCAATACTTTGTCGATAACCAGTTGTGTTCCATCAGTCAGGGCCTCCTTCTCCTGCAAAATCAAATAATAATAACCCTATGTTTTTCTTTTGTAGAATTTCTCTCTACTCCCTTTCTATGGGCCGTGTGTGTTACTAAAAACCTTTTAGCCCTTTTCGCAATGAATTTTAATAGAAAATCACAACATTTAATGAATTGCATCATAATGCCTTTTTTTTTTTCCTTTTAGGTGAAAAGGCAGTCTCATAAGGAGAGGATATTCAGTGCATCCATTACATGAAAACGTTTACTACTAAGAGAAGAAATTTATATACATTTTGAAGCGAATATTAATATATTATTCCATATATTATTAGTTGAATTGGTATGCGATAGTACTAGTATTCCATTAGAACTCTAAAGTAACACGCGCTTGGAGAAGAATAATACTAAGATGGATGATTGATCTCGTGGAAATTCTTTGTGTGTTATATCCTTCGTTCAAATTTCCCAAAAAAAAAAAATAATATTACAGTAGTTGAATAGTTGCAATGACAATGTTTTATGTTCCCATTCTAATAAAGCAGACATTCGGCCTTTAATTTTTTACAGGGAAAAAAAAGGATTGTTCAATGCAATTGTTGAACAGAGTCTTTTCCGTTGCACCGAAATGGGTGGAGAAGAAATTTTTGTTATTTTCTTTTCTGGTTCTTTCACAACATTTTCTACTTATTACTTCGAGAAAAGCCTCTAGGGAATCATTTTCAAGAATAATTAAAATTTAATTGCCAGTTTAATTAAAATGCTACTTCACTACGAAAATGAAACAACCAACTATATACGAGTGCAATGATATCGCAAAGTAATTTTAAAAAGGGAAAATTATAAGAACGTTTAATTCTTAAAATTGGGTTTTAAATTTTACAAATAAGATAAAGTAGAACAAGAAATTGAAATATATACAACTTGCATATGACATTTAGGACAAAGTAGAAGTAGTATTATATGTTTAAGGATTTCTTTGCCTAATCGAATAAGATAACTGTGTATACTATACATCATAAAAGAACAATTAATAAGGGCGTGATGCTATGTTGCTCTTTAAAAAGACATTATGCAAAAAAAAAAAAGTCATTAATAATTTCATAAGAAAAAATAGCCATAAATAGAGCAAGAATTAACCAATGTAAAAATGAGAGATAATAATATAAAACAGTGAAGTGGAAAATGCAGGAGGGAGGGACAGAGAGAACGAAAAATGGAGAAAGGGTTAATCACCCATGGATACATTTTATACCATCTCTCCTGTTGGATGATATTTTTAAATTAAGAGGGGAATTCTATCGATAGTCTATTACTAATATACTTCCCTAAATAAAAATAATAGATCAAGGAACTACTATTTTTTTGCTTTTTTACTCAGTGTAAGTATCTGCATTGGAGCCTCGACTAATTTGGATATGCCGCATAAAGCCCATTAAAAGAGGAAATGTTCCGTACAAATATTTTTGTAAAAATAGCACGGGTTAGCCAGTTTTCGGGCTAGTCATTCAAAAATAGCCAGCGTTTGCAAAGTTATTGAATAATAACCACTATTTTACTGCAACACAGAAAGTTCCAGCATAATATACTGGAGATCGGTGCACCTGTGTTTGAACTTCCAGCATATTATGCTGGAACTCCAACATGCGGAAAGTTCCAATATATTATGCTAGACCGGTATATTATATTGGAACTCCAGTATATTTATACTGGAGTTTCAGTATATTACACTGGAGTATTTTTCGGGATTTTGAATAGTATTTTCGTTCAGATTTATCTTTACATAAAAAGTGGCTAAATTCGATGACTTTTGAAACGGTGACTATTTTTGAATGACCACTTGTAAATGTGGCTATTTTGAAATTTCTCCCAATATTTTTTTATTCTCTCGGACCCTTAACCAAGAAAACTCATTCTCAAAGCTCAAACCCAAAATGTGATCTTATCCATCCCACCACAACCCTTTATGGTAAAGGAACTACTACTTGCAACCGCCTTATCCCGCCTTCAAAACAATCAACTAGGGGTGATACTAGAGTATTAAATATGACTTTAGACGAATTTAATAGCTTTTGATTAGACCCTATAAACGTATTACAAAATTTAAATAAGTATCAACGTTAAATTACGAATCCATTAATTAAGATGAGTTGTGGCAAGTCATAACTCATAAACTTTGCCTCTCAAACCAACTCATATATAATTGCACCTCAAATTATAGCCTTTCCGCAACTGATACTAAACTAGTAGAGATTGCACTGCACTGAATATTACATGTAAAAATTAAACAAGTTTGCATCTACTATTATCAACACAAGGCATGGATGCTATTGCTAGCTAGTGTCATCACTACTTAATTTGCACAAGTCATATGACTTTATTAGCAAAGAAATTAAATAACAATACCCCAGAGCAAGATTCAAATGAGGGGAGCTGCCTGCTAAAGACGGAGATTATCCGGACTATTGAATTCACGTGAACCCAATATAGATGACACTTTATATTCGCCCCGGGCTAGAAAAGCTCCAATTATCTGAATGAGAAGCAGGCGTATTCATTGACGAAGCCCCAGAACCACACTTGGCTACGGTCCTAACACTCTCTATTAGTGCCTCTGTACGTGCCTCATGTGACAAAATTTCAGACAATTGTTGAGGGCTTATTAGTAATTTCACCTTCCACACTCCAGTACTATTGTACGTAGGAAATATCTCAGCTTCTGATGATCTCTTTAGC